CTAGCATATTTTTAAGCTTCCATAGCCAAAGAACAAAAACCACTTAAATGGCTTCTATTTAATGTCGTCATATCCAACTACACCAATAGACTATTGTTACTATAGTTATATGATATATTTTAGTAAGTCTCTACTATGAACTACTAGACAGTAGTGAAGCCAAGTAGTCAAAAATAAAACAAGGAATGTTATTTTACACATATAACAGAGGAATTAGAAAAAACATAAATGCGCATTTAAAAAAGCCATTAAAAATGAGAAAAATGTTTCTAAACAACTTTTTTATTAACGTCAATACGCACGCACTCAGTTACGCGCTCAAAATATTTTAAGTAGGCATATACATATATAATTCTAGGTTAAAACTTACTACACACTTTTAACAATATATTTTTAGAAAACACAACACATTTTGAATAGTTTGTCGACTCGTCGGTTGTACGCTTTGTCATTTTAGCGACTGCAAATGAAACTTTGTCTTCCTTTGCATCTTGTTATGGAATAGAAACTTATTTTTGCGGCGGATAAAATAAATCAATAAAATTTTGTAGATGCGTAAACATTTTATTAAGATTTTTTTATTTCTTAAGGTTTGTTGGCGAGGAACTCTCGATGCCAAATACAGATCTTAGAATATTATTTATATGATATTGTTAATCGAATTTTCGCCTTATGTATGTAAGTATAATAATAATCAGAACAATTATGATGTTTTTTTGTTTAGATTAATTTATTCACCAAGTTACAATAGCTTTATGCTATTGTTTGCATATCTTAATTGGCATTTTAAAGATTATATGATGATAATCTTTGTTATCTGCCGGCAACATTCTCACCCGAATATTTCATCTAATTAGGAACTCACGTTCTCAAGCTTGTTCTGTTAAATCATCTGATTTAGTAAGTGAAAATTTATAAAGTTATAAGCTTACTATGAATATTGTTATTTATTTTAAATTTTAAATAAATAAATATTTCTCTTAAGAAACGAAAATTGAAACTCAATTTAACATATTTTATATAATGTCAATTCATATAGTTGGAATCCAATAAATAATAAAAATACATAGGTGTGACATGTGGCAGCTCGTTGAACTCTTTCGTATGGCGCGGGCGGCGCAGTTATAGGCGCGTTTTATCCGCCTCTAACGAGCTTCGAACTTCAAACATCGAGCCCGTTTGTGGTCGTACATAACACGCTCTAGGATATTAAAATGAGACAAATTTATTGCCGCTCTCCGATTATACGTTCGATAAATGCAGACCGGTGATTATGATATCTCAGGAGTTTAATCGTACCATCGATACGAAGTTGCGTTCCGTTCCACTAAACCAGTACTAATAAAAAAGAAACTAGTTACAGGCCGATGTTCGACAGTTTACGTTGGAAAATCAACAAGGTGCCGGAGAGGGTACTGCGGTGCGTTATCGGAACGATCAGCTTGAACAATGCGTCGAATGTTTCAATATAACCCGACAGCATTTTTAACGTTTCGTCGACACTGTAACAATCGTAAAATAAATTCTCTACGCCTTCTCAGAGCTCTGATTAATGTTGTACACAGTGCGGCGTCGCGTTTATTTTTTCACCTCTTGTTATTCTCTAGCTTAATTTATGAACTTTAAAAGCCAAAGAAAACAACATATGCCTCAATACTCATAGATGTGAGTATTTTTTTATTTGATCAGCGCTAGGAAAAGAATTCAGGGCCAATATCACATTAAAATTATTTATTAGATAAAAATTATATTTAGTAATGTGTATGTATACAGATTTAATGTAATAAATAATACTAAAGAACATGTCTTTTATCTACAAGAAGAAAAGTAAAGTAAATAGAGTTGCAATTATTTATATTAGAAAAGTTAAAAGCTTATATTATTAAGATCCGTAAAGCATTTAATTATTATTGCTTGTAAGAATCACTAGTATTATAGGACATATGTCAAATAAGCAACAGAACATAAATTTCCAACAAGCGTCATTTCATCTCCTCGGTTATAATTCTCGTATCAATTCCAATCTCAATAAATAGAAACCGCACAATGCTTTTGTTCACGTCCACTTGTTTCACACATACTTAGGCTGCGGGCGCTCGTTAACTTAGATTGAAGGTTCGGTCGACGGCCGAGTCCTTACAGCATAAAAAACCTGATATGCAATATGCTCGCCTATGGGAGCCGCTCTTTTAAATGGCTCTACTCGCCTCAACTCGATAGTTACGCCGTTGCCATTATTTTACTAGGTAATTTTTTACCGGATATTGATACAGAAATTGGAAGTGAGTTTAACGACGTTACCATTTATCAGTTTTACGTGTTTGTGAATTTTAACAGTATTATATGTAATAGTTGATTAATCTTTAGTACTTCTTTTGACTCTGTAAAAGTAGACAATACTTTCTTAGATTTACGCGAATATTAATTTCAATAAAACTACCTTTTATTTAGATTTTTGGTTCCCGTCGTTTCAAATGCTTTACAGCAATCATGGTCACGGGAGAGACTATCCCCACTATCGTACCAGCATGGTTCGCGAAGCTGTTAAAATAAAATAAAATCAGTCATTTGCGAGTCCAATTCGCACACAAAGGGTTCCTGCCATCATACATGTAGGTACTTTTTATCAATATAACTTTTACTCTATGTACAAATTTGTAGTATATTAACTTCGATTATCGATTACGAACGTAAAAGAGATATTGTATTTTTATTTTTATTATTTGTTGTTATAGCGACAATAGAAATACATACTTGGTTAAAATTTTAACTTTACTTATTACGGTTCATGAGATACAGCCTTCTGACAGACGGATGGATGGATGGACGGACAGCGGAGGCTTAGTAATAGGGTTCCGCTGGCACCCTTCTGGTATGGAACCCTAAAAATATAGAAACTTTAACAGGGAAGATGGCTGGGTAATACCATCATCGTGGGATCCTGTAATTAACATAATAAAATCTAACAACAAAAATAAACATAACAGACCATTAGATGTAGTTAGTTCATACTGTGTGGATCGAAATAACAGTAATTCAGATTAATATTTTTTATCTATGAAGGTAGCAATAGTGTTGCTTAATATTTTAACTTTAAATAATAGCAATCTAAATTAATATTTTAACTTTTTAAATTACATATGAAACAATATAATATTGTTTAAATAAATAAGTTATATTTTCAATTATTTGTAATTTTATTTATGATTATACATACATATAATAAAAGCAACACTACTATTATTATTATTTAACAATAATATTATTAATTAAAAAAGTTAAAAAAAACGAACACCTTAAACTTTAAAAATAACAGCTTAAATGAAATAAATAATATTGCCTTATTTAATCATAATACTTATTAAAAAAGTTTAAATGCTTAGAATTGAAATCAACGAATATTGTAAAGTACCTACTTTGGTGACATTTTTTAATTTTTAGAAATCATTATGTAAAATTGTGGGTAAGCATTGTATGTAACAAATATGACCATTGTTGCTGTAAAGCATTTGCGTCTGGAAGCAAAAATTAAAATAAATCTGCGAGAAAATTCGGAAAGAGTTTTATTTTATCTGTAAAAGGAGTTTGTTTATTTCGTTATTAAGATTTAATTATTTTGTCAGTATTTAATTGTACTTTATTTGGCGAAATATATCCGTGAAGTGCATAAGGTAGTTATTATATACATATGTTTGTGTGTCATGTAACAAACAAACACATGTGATAACTGCTTGACACTATCGTAATGGTTATTTATATATATTTACATTACAAATCATTTATATATGCTTACATTAAAAATCATATACTTTTATATATCTATAAAAGTCGAATTGTTATTGAAATGGATATAAAAGTAAACTAAACACTTATATATTTAAATATTGGTATATTACCATATTATATGTATGTGTAATTTGTGTGTATAGTAATTTTAAATAAACATTATATGTACATATGTTTATCAGAGTGTAGATGTTTTCTAAAACCATAGAAAGAGATGACCTGAATCCTTTTTATCATAATCATTATATTCATAAATAAGAAGTTTTTGTAAGATTAATAATTGCGCAAATTAAGATTAAATTATAAATTAAATTGCAAAATAGCTTTTATAGAACAACTGAGCTGACTTTTAAAAAATCGTTATTGGTAGAAACTGTGTATATAAATTAAGTATAATTCAGTTATTCCTTATCATTAACGTCAATTTGTTATTTTTATTTAACTTCTTTAATTACTTACTAATGCACTTTTGAAAACTGTTATAATTTTAAGGTGATACCGTAATCTAACATTTTATTGTCTGCATATATATCTTTTATATGTAAATTTTAATTTTTAAATTTAATTCTTTATTTCAAATGTAATTTTTACCTTCATCTAAGTATGCTTTGATAATAAAAATATTAATAATACATTACGGTACATTTTAGTAATAAATGTCATAAAAAAACGTTAAAGCTGTTTGTTTCCTTACTACTTTTTTAACTATGAATTTGTTTAATGTTTTATTTTTAATATTATAAAATGGATAGTAAAGAAAACTATTTTTTCTAAAATCGTATTTTATTTTCATTATCACTTTTTGACACAGTCCATTTTTGAAATTTTACAATAAATATCTTCATTTTTTGTGACTAAATTACAAAATATACATTACTAAAGAAGCTATCTAATTACTACTAATGTATCACAGATATAGGCATAAGTGCCATTTTTAAATATACTTATTATTAGATCTATTTTCCTCGCAAGCACAGCTTGTAAGGCTTTTACGTTTTATACAATAGTAATTTCAGTGAAACATAAGTTCAGGTTTATGATAGATATTATTTTAAATTTTGACAATTCCTATAATAAATTGTACAATTTACAGTCTTAATCTTAAAGTTATATTAATAATATATACAATACGTACGCTAACCGACTAGCCATCACATTCACTAAAAAGTCACTGCACCTTGGTAAAGTTCATTTAACATAGTCTTTATACACTACACATGGACGGAATGATTTCGAGGCGAAGCACGGGCTGGGATTTGATGTGGGGTTAGGGATGGATGCGGTGGTAATACAGGGTGAGCTCCATGCACTCCCGGTGGAGGAGGCAAGGCGCCCAAGTGACTCCTGGGATGATGATTTCGATGCATGGGTACGGTGTCGGCACCAGGACTTGGCATTCCACGATGCCTTTGCTTATCACGAACTTTAGGTAGAGCAAATTTCAGCTTTTCCCAGAATAATTTATCACTTGAGCGCAGATATTTGTTTGCTTTTAAGTAAAGTCTTATATCAGGATCAAGTTCTTTTTTGGACACTTCACCTAATAACACCACTATGAGTCTTTTTCGTCTGTCTCTTAATACTTGATGATGTGCAGATTTAAACTCAAATCGGGACCATTCTGACTTTATGAAATTCTCACTTAGCACCATTATTGTACGACGCGATGATTCCACGGCCTGTATTATGTTATCACCAATATATCCGCCTACAGGAAAATCGCGATAATGTAAATACAACTTATAACAAGGATCTGCGTGCTCTAACATGGGTGCAAGCTTTTCTGTCACCCATGCTTCATCTTTGGAACTGTAACTCACAAAGGCATCATACAGTTTCTCACGATCATCATGATTTACATCTTTGGAGCATAACTTTATCCCAAACCTTGCATAAACTAGCGCTCTAATGCCATGACTGTATTTACATATTATTATTGTAACTAATACTAATAATAAAAATCCAACAAGAATTCCAACTATCACGGCCACGTAATTAGTTTCATCATTGCTGATAATGGTTTTGGTAGACGTCAAATTCCCGTTAATGCTATTATTTATACTTGGTAATCCAGTGCATATTGTTCCATTTTCTTCAACTATTTTAAATCCGTATTTAGGGTCCTCAAAAACACTTTCATTGTATATTCCTATATCAGTTGTATTGTTTATCGAATAAACACATTTTATATTGGATAAATCTGTTATGGAACTTACTTTTTTTGTCCATTCACGGAACATTTCTGTAAATTCGCAGTCACATGACCAAGGGTTGTAAGATAAGGTGATCGTAGTAACGGCTCTATTGATTTTCCAAACTGATAAAGTTACCAATGCATTGTGATGTAGGTGTAATATTTGTAACTTTTGCATGTGATTAAACATTTCCTTTCCGATTGTTTTAATTTTGTTGTTATTCACATACAACTCGCGCAAGTTATCCAATCCATTAAATTCCTGTCCTTCTATAGTTGTTAGGCTATTATGATCGAGGTGCAATACTTCTAATTCTCTCAAACCGTTAAAAGTTCTATTGTGAATGGTTTCTATATTTGATGAATTTAAATATAATATCTTTAATCTTTTTCTCCCAATGAAAGCATGACTTGGGAGCATTTTTATATCATTACCATCTAAATATAGCTGAGTAGCCTCCATAGGTATTCTTTCAGGTAACAGATCGACATACCCCGCATTAGAACACTCTACAACGTTAGCCGACCAAGATTGATCATGGTAACAAGTACAATTGTTAGGACATGTCATTTTACAGTCACATGCATCGAAGTCACAACAGTGACAAAGTGCGAAGCAATGAAACTCATATTTACATAAAAACTGATGGGGTGCGGCTTCTACTAAAGGTACATATGCATTGCCACGATTGTAAAGTAATTTACAATATATACTGTCCAAGTCCATTAGCTTAGGCTGAGTTCTAGCTCTATTTCCAGTATTTATTTTTTGTAACCATTCCATTGTGCAATCGCATTCTAAAGGATTCCCACCAATGAAAAACTCGGGAACAGATTTATCCTGTGGTACGGCGGATATTCTTAAAGAGTTCGGATCTAGGCTGGTTATTTTATTTCCATACAAATCTACCCTTGTTAGATTTGGCTTCTTAAAAAATGTATAAGATTGTACTTTGGAAATTAAATTATCATTTAAATACAACATTTCCACTGAGTTAGGTATGGCACTTCCCGTTATCTCCGTCAATCTATTAGAACTAGCGTCGAAAGTACTAAGCGATAACTGCGATTCAATTTCAAAGTAATTTCCAAGTTCAGCGATTCTATTAGCGTGAATGTCCAGCCATTGCAATCCAGTTGGAATCATAGCATAGTCAAACAATTTTAGGCGATTATCAGAAATGTTCAGCCATACCAAATTAGGTAACTTGGCGAAAAGTCCATCGATGTCGGTCAAGTAATTTCCATCTAATCGTATAGCTTGTAAATTTATGTTACCATCGAAAGCTCCAGCTTCAATTTTATGAATTTTATTTCTTGACAAGTTTAAAATTTTTAGGGATGTCATCTTATCAAATACGCCTTTACTAATATTTCCAATATTATTTTCAGTTAGTCGCAGCCCATACATTTGTTGCATTGCCATAAATGACGCGTTTTCAATGCTCACGATTAAATTTTCTCCTAAATCAAGAGTTTTTAATTGCGGTATTTCCCTTAACGCTATGGGTACTTCATCTAATCTATTTCCATTTATATGCAGGTCTTGTAATGAAGTACAGTTACGTAAAGAATGGGGGTGTATTTTTGAGATGCGATTGCTGTCAATAGATAAAACTGATAAGCCAGGTAACCCAATAAAAGAAAAGCTTTCAACATTTGTTAGTCTATTATTGGATAATATCAAAGTATGCAAATTTCCAAGAGAATTAAATACATTTTCTGGTATGTGTTCAATAAAATTATCTTGCATTTTTAATATTTGCAAATTATTTAAATCTCTAAATAGTGCTATCTCAAGTTTAGAAACTCTATTGTGTGAAAAATCTAAGAATATGAGTCTTTTCAGTCCAAAAAATGTAGAAGTATTTATCCAATCTGAGGTTAATTCATTGTAAGACAAATCTAAAACAAGTAATTGTAGTAAATCACTGAATAACCCAGGAGCCAGAACGGTAATTGTATTATTATTAAGATATATTTCTTTCAACTCCTTAGTGTCACTAAATAATTCAGGAGGTAAACTAGTTAATTGATTGTCAGAAAATCTAACTGTTGTTAGCGAAATAAGCCCCTCTAAGGCTCTATCTGCTACGGAATTTAATCCATTGCCTTGTAAATATAACTTTTGTAATCGTCTTAAGCCTGAAAGAAGACCAGGCGGTATAGTATCAATAAGATTCCTTGATAAATCTAAAACTAGTAGATTGTCACCACATTTTTCTGTTGGGTGACGATGAGCTGATGAGAATTGAAAATGGCTAATATCTCTCATCCTGTTCCCAGTCATATTTAAATATTCTAGATTTCTTAACGAGCATAGAGCCCCTTCAGGAAATGCTAACATATTATTTTCACTTAGGTCCAGACGTTCAAGATTTTGTACGTCTCTTGAAAACGCAGTTGGTGTAACTTCTAGTGTCATTGTAGACCAATCAGTGTTGTGCGTACGTATAGTTAGATTCCTGAGCTCTCGAAGACCCGTAAAGGCACCGTCAGAAAGATTTCCGATCTTACAATATTCAATTGTAAGTTCCCTTAGTTCTATTAGTTGGCGAAAACTTCCCGGTGCAAGCGAGCTTTGGAAAAAAAGAGCATCACTACATTCGAGACGCAGTCTCACGGTAAGATGTGGTTGAATAGCACTAAAATTTGTATTTTCTAATTCACTATTTATAGTCCTTAATCGACACTGTAACGCGACTCCAGATTCATCATCATCATTAGTCCAACGGCATTCATCAGGAGCTTGATATCGCGCTCCCGTTGTAGCCGATAAAGACGCGCTCCACACTGGTAAAACAGTGCTAAGCGCCAGCAAAGCGCTCATAATCCACATTGAACACATCGTGCTTTCCTTTCACTAAACTTCACTATAACTTATGCATAGTTTTATTTAAAATTAAACACTATAATTGCACGTAATAGCATTATCGCCTTAGTAAATCTTTAAGAGCGCACACAGTTTAGCCGGCCACTCAACTCTTATTCCGCGTAAGTATTACTGGACAAGATCGTGTTTGCCACTCGACACGAGGAACGTGACGCGTTCGCTCGCGTCGGACTCTGGGGTGGAACTAACACGGACTCAAACCTGCGCTGCGCTCGCGCACAAGGCCGTGCCGGTTCACGCGTTCCAACAGGTAAATCGACGCCCGGGGCTAAAACGTTCTAACCGCCTTGTGTAACGCTTTACCTTTCGCTCTCCTTACTTTACGAAGCTTCTTGTCAGAAAAATACATTGGACGCACACATAAACATTTTACACGCAACACTATTGAGTGAAACCGCTTTTTATGATGCTCGAGCATACTTTCGGTGCTTAGGTGTGAGCAGGACAGAGGGATCGTTGCGGGGTAAGCTCGCAAACTAGGTGGGGGCTCGACAGCTGCCCAGGTAGTGCGCTAGAGCATTGCCGAGGTCGCCGCTTGTATTATTGAATGCGCCGCGTAATAAAATAGTTTCGCGAATATTTAAACACTGGGTGCCATACTGCAAACTCATCATCCTTAATTAAATTAGTTAAGTTAAATAAAGTTATTGTAATGAGTATATTAAATCATAATAGTACTCCAGTAATGTTTTAGTATCAGATATTTTATATTTCATTTGGTTATTATTATTATATTTCCTTGTTTATTATTAATAACCTATTTTTGCATCAGAAATTATGAATTTATAAATATTATCTTATTTTTAAAAATTAGCTTTCTATAATCTACTTATTAAAAGATAATTGATAATTATCTTTTTGCTAACAAAAAACTATCAAACATTTTGTTATTTGTAAAAAGATAAATTGCACTTTCTGAGAATCCGTATCGCCCTTTATTTAACCTAAACGGTTTTAATATAATTTCTTAACGCTCTACTTGTAACCCATCATCAAATTAAACATCTAAACATTATGTGCTTTGGGAAGGTACCAATTTGCTGAAAACATTTTATTAAACTAATTGCGGTTCGAACTTAAATCGAGTTACATTTCACATGATTTATTCCTGGCAGTAAAAATTAGTCAGTTAAACAATTATATGTTGGTATTACTAAAATATTATAAATAAATTCACGTATCCTAAGTATGAAAATGAATGGACTCACCATTCGAAATATTCTATAATATAAATAATAAATTGAAATTTGTTTAAATTTTATAGACAGATACTTTGTAAAACTTATATTCTCTTCGAAGAATATAAAATGTTATACGTCCTAAGTATATTAGTATCATAAATATAGCTTTATGGTTGATGGTGTCCAAAATTATTAGTTATTAATAGTTATTATTAAGGGATAAAAATGTTTTTTTATTGTCTTCGGTATAACTAAGATTATCTACATATCACATAATTTTTGTACTGTATTCATATAGTAGAATTGCCAAAAAAAAAACGCTTTTCCCCTACAAGTAGGTACCTTACAATACATTGCAAATAGCGTTGTATTAGAAATTGAGGTCTCGTGTATTACAGCTTGAATCCATATATCACTGAGACCCATGAGTGGCTTTTTCGACCGCGTCTTGGCACCACAAAAGACCAGCGGGTGATCTTTTGACTTTTTGTCGTAAGTGGATAGGCGTAGCTTGTATTTTATAAAAGAATAGATTGCCGGTAAATCGTTGGTTATTGTAATTTGTTTAACGTATGTTAGATGATTGTTATCCATAGCTCGTTATAGAGTGTCTGCATTCAATTTACGATGGTCCAAGTCGTCACGCAACTGTCCGGATGATAGTCTAGTGCGTGGGCCTGTGTGATGTGGGTCAGTTGCCTTCGTGATTCATGGACGAACTCTCAACACTTTAACAATAACTTATTGTTTAGTACAATGTGGAAAATTGTGTTCACACCTGCTTACTTGAAAATTACTCGTACTAGTTTGTAGTTCGTGTTAATAATAAAATTGTTAGTATTTAATATGAAAGATGTTTTGTAATATTATAGGACATAGCAAAGTATATTAAGAAATTATATCAATATCAATTATCAAATTTATATTGGCTAGGAAAAATTAATAAAATATTAAATAATAACAAAAACTTATGCTATAATCTATAGTTTATGATGACCCATATCATATCACATACCATATAATAACTAGTGCATAATGACTTATTTCTTATTTTGCCTAATCACGTGAGATCATCTAGCGTAAAAGATTCTCTGGTTGATTTTCCATTATGTTATTAATTTTTGTAATTTCGGTGCCTAATCTCCGGCGACAGGGCCGATACGCGGGCGACACTTATCTCGATGTCGGCTGACACGTATAATCCATTAAGTCGTCATTTCCACGCGGCTGATCATTCCTCAACTGCGCGTCAAACCCGCCCCTGAATGAAACCCTGTATTGTTCGCTACTACTTCATCATGTCGTCTCTACAAGCTTCTTACGAAAACCCCGATTCGATTTCAACCCTAAAACAAAAGTACCAAAGCACAAGAATCTTTGATTCACCGTTGAACATTTATCCATGATGGGTAATGAACTAGTTTGTTATCTAATCGGGTACACGTCTGACCTATTAATAAATTCCCACGTAATTTTCTAATTAACATCCTGCCAAAAATACAATGTATTAAATATGACTAATATTTAAAATTGCTTTTGTTTGTTATTAAGCTACATCGAATGAATGTTTTTGTTGCAGGTAATCAACATTTGAATATATATGGTAATGATGATGAGAAATAAATATATTTCTTAGATAGCGTTTATATGAAAAAATATAGTGCTAATAAAGTTGCGATATAGGCACTTAGATTTTCGCCATATGTGTAAGATTTATAATTGCAAAGGTAAAGTAGTTGAAACGGTTATCCAAAGACTATAAGTGTTTTCTTAGCGTATAAGGGTTGGTATATAAAGTGCAAATTGAAAAGATTTTCCAAGCGAGCAGAGAGCCCTTAGTAGTGCATCAGATCGCAACACGGGCAATTTGGCGCGCGAGAGTCAACTCGGGCTTATTCGAGTGCCCCGGCACCTGGCAACCTACAGGGTGCCGGTTGGATAGGGATTAAGTAGAGTAGAAGTTTTATATAAAAAATGTTATTATTATATTATTTTAATGTTTTATTTATTATGAAATCTTTTATTTATTTTATTAGGATCCTCCAACGATAATACACAAAAAACTTACACTTTTTTCGTTAATTTTTTAAATCTTATTTCTTGTAAACAATCATTCCTACAATTACTACTACTACAATCCACTTAGATACTAAACCTATGGTGTAGTAAGAAATGCCACCTATCGATCCCTGGTGAATTAACTATTTTAGTTTTGAGATTATAGTTTGCTAGTTCATTTCTCTTGCTTCTTGCATCTTATCTTGCCTGCATTTATACATCTGAATAAAAAACGTCTGTTTTCTAAAATATCGCTATGAAAATTATCTCGATGGTTCGTCTTTATTTTGGCCTATAAAAAAGACAAACTTAGAATTAAACTGTATCATTTGTAATTTTAAGTGGGAATCATTGAAAGTGAATTTGAAATATTGAAACGACTCTATTCATTTTGTTATTCGAAGCCAGGGACGTAACGTGCCAACCAATAGGACCGGTTAGATTACGCATTGTCGCGGCACAATTAGAAACTGTCGCGGTGCCCAGCTCACTTTGTTATTCACCAACAATCGCCGCATCTGCTTCTCAGTGCGGGGCACCTCACGATATATGGCATCTGCTAATTGCACACTATTCAATGTCAAAAGTTATGGATCTTTCGAGATTATTTCTCATTATTAATAAGAGATTTCAAAGTAATCTTGTAGCGTATAAGATATTACTCACATATGTGTTCAGATAATATTGCTTTATTTTTGTTGAAATAATTTCGTTTCGTATTATCTTTTAGTCAAATCTACAACGAATTCGTATGTTATTCATATTAAATTGGCTTATATTACTACATATTTATGTTATACAATCTAGAATATATTTAACTGAAGGTTCATGAACAAAGCTGAATTTATAAGTTACAGATTGAGTTAGGTGTTTTAACGTTCCACCAGTACATAAATGTTTTCACGGAAAATGTCTTGTTATTCTATTAGGAATTCTAGAGTGATATTTCTTTGACAATATTAATTTTTATGTAATAAATCTAGTGCTCTTTTTTAAATCTAATACCCCCACGGCAGATACTATATGTACCGCGAAATATGTAAGACGGACTATTCGCTTTGGTTTCTAAAATATCGCTATGAAAATTTATCGATGATTCGTCTTTATTTTGGCCTATTAAAAAGACAAACTAACAAGTAAACTGTCGCATTTGTTATTTTAAGTGGAAATTCTTCTACGCCTTTGTATTTTTATACTCTTGATAAAAATCCAAAGTAGCTTTTTCTCTTGACGATTTAATATAATGATAAAGAATATGATATGTGTATTGTATACCTATGCTATGTATATTTTAGTATATTGAAAACTTATAATAACAAAGAAACTAAACAGGATTAATAAAAATCACGTATAGTTGCTAAACTTATGAATAACATTATATGATACGTATAGCAAAAAAAAACATGTCAATATTATACTTCCTAACTGACTCTGGCAATTTTCTTTGACGACTTGTCAGTACTATTCGCATTGTCTACGTTGAATGGCGATCGTAGGCGCTGAGTAATGACGTATGATTGATTGAATGGCTCGTTCACTAAAGACATCTAATAGTAATCGGCATGCGATTGGAAATTTTTTATTTCACTCTATTGATAATATGAACAATGTTTCGAATGTAGTGACTTACGTTCGTGTACGTGCCCCACTTACGTTGATGAACGACAAATATCTTTACTGGGAAACTGTGTTTGAATATATTTAATACTAGCGGCT